AAATTTCTAGTTTGCTTAGAAACACAATTCCACTACAAGGTCCTCCTTGCTAAATAAACTATACACTTTTTGAAAGCTCATAACACCAGGAACACAAATCCTGAGACTTTCAAGCAAAATCGTCATAATTGTCAAGTAAATGCTATATTTATTATAGTCATTGTGAAGTTGATATAAAGATAAATATTGGCGAAAAATCCCAATGCCTTCATCCTCGGCAAAGAATAGGGTATTAGGGTATTGATTAAATTTTAATTCATACCAAAATGCAGAATACATAATGAACGGAACATACGGCATTTCGGAAATCCATTAACGGTAAAAAAAAAGAGTCATCTCCCTTTCTGTCAAACGTTTGCAATTGATGTCGCACAGGACCATATTTGAGCACACAGGTTCAATATGTATACCGTTAATGGGCCCCCAGGGTCTTGCGAGGGTTGGTGGGTGGGTGTTTACTCAGAAATTATGGGCTGGGTGACTACTAGAGTCTGGTGAGCCAGGAGATATGTTTGACATTGGTTGAGCGGTACCCTCCCATTTCGTCTACGTCCCATTTCGACTACAGCTTATAACAACAGATTATCTGGTGGTTTTATTATCCCTACTTATATACCCTCTCTATAACTAAAATAGATTCTTCCATAAAACATCCCAGCGTCTAACAAAACAAATAGAAAAAAAGAATGAAAAATTAATTTACATAGAAATTGTATAAAATATGTAACAAAACAAGATCATTCGCACTTCTCAATATTTCGAATTATGTCAATGAATCTATAGTGGCTAGGATGACTGTGTGGTATGGTTTTATTCATTCTTGAGTGGAAACTATTAGGTTGTTATTTTCCTGGGTCCAACAATTTCAAAATGTTTCCATAAACAAATAGGAAATTTGGTAACATAATCATTAAAATTCATCGGTGTTGTTGATGTCTGGAGTTTCCTCTATTATTGATATTCGATATAAAGAAATTCTAATCAAATAACACAAATTTTGACTGAATGATAGTGAACTTGAAAAATTAAATGTACAAAATTTGATGATGATGAGTTAGTTGTATTTTACGTCCGCTTCCACCGAGGTGATATCGCAGACAATGTACAAAATTTTAAACAATTTATCTTATATAGATAAGCAAGTATTAAACTCAATGTAATCTCCAAATACTACAAATATTCAAAACAAAAATGTACTCTGAGTTGATATTTTGTCTGTGATGTTAAAGAAAACAAGCCATAATATATAATGAATAAGCTATTTTAACAATTTAATCATTACATTAATTACATCTTTTAATCGGCGGAACAGTTCATTGGTGATTAGTTGGGGGTCTGGGGCCTGTTTCACAAAATTTTAACAAAGATAAAATCCAAATTTTAGTAATTTGATTGGATAATATCAGATTGATTTTAGTGCTTAGCCAAGCAAAATTGAAGTATCTACTAAAATTTGGATTTTATCTTTAGTTAAAATTTCGTGAAACAGGGCCCAGGATTTTAAGGGTAATAAAATTTGTAGTCGAAATGGGGTGTAATCGAAATGGGGCGTAGTCGAAATGGGAGTGAACCGGTTGAGCAATATGGTTATGCAGTAATGGAGACCAGAATATGTCAGTAGTTTTGGAAATCACATTGAAACCACGTGATCTTTTCCACTAAAATATAAACCCACACCCCACATACCCTTCTAATTAGACCCTACAATATTTTTTACTACAAGTAACTGTAATCCACTAGTTCAGATATGATGGACAAATGATTAGCACGTACGTGCTGTATCATGAGGTCTGTCATTGAGTCAACTGGCGTGGTTTCGAATCCCCGGTTGTACGTGACAAGGGGTAGGGTTGCCTGTCCAACCTCGTGGGTTTTATCCGGGCCCTCCGGTTTCCTCCAACTGCTAATGACCCCTACGCGCATGCGAATTATTGAAATAAAATTAAACCATATGTTAGTCCCGAAATGATCTAGTCTTTGTCGAGTGGACGTTAAACCCCATTTTTCTCTCTCTCATTTGCCCGATAAAACAATGCGTTTGGCCTGAAATGTGAAATAGAATCATTAATCAGCGGATTTTAGTACGATTGCAAGTTAATAATTTAGTTTTAAAATTGGATAATCGAGACATTGCTTATTATCGCAACAGCGGTAGCAATGACAATCGAGACTATACTGTTCTTTAAACGGTTATAACTCCGTTCAGAATCAAGTTTCGACATATCCTCTTTTCATTATATATTTTGTAATTATTATAGCAAGAACGTCAGCTCTTTATCTAAACCTTACATAATTTATCTTTACGTATTATTGAATAAAATATTGTTTAAACCTAGGCTATTTATATCCGCTCTTTTTTTTACTAACGAGATATATGTATGCATAGTCTGTCGTCTAACGTTTTTAACATATCAACCATTAAGACCCATTTGGTCTCTTGTTTGTCTAGTTTGTCTGATAAAAAGAAAAATGGCGCTTAATAAAGTTGTTTCTTCCTTCGAGCATCATGTTTTATAAATATTTTATTGATTTTCAGATGAATAAATCAGCATGGTGTAGCAATGTTTTAATCGGTATGATGTTTTAACAGTATATTATAAAACTGTCAGAAATACTGTTACATTGTGTAATACTAGTTGTTCGGGTACCGGGCGTTACAAGGGTTTATGTCTGATAAAGGTTTGATTTCAAGTTAAGTATAACTCCGCAACCAAAGTGATAGGCCAACGGTACCTAGCCTATGTTACTCCCCGGTCCAAGGTACCCCCTACACACCAAATTTCAGCCTTGAGACAGCCCTAATATTACCGCCAACCCTGAACAGACAAACAGACAAATAAACAGACAGCCAGACGACAGTCATAAATATTAGTATAGATAACGCAATTATCATTAATTGTCAAGCTCACCATTCAATACAGAACTGAGTACAAAATAAACGCGTAGTACTATTAGACGCCTTGTATTATGAACTCTTCCCCGCTGGGAATATACACGGTTGTAGTGACAGGGGGAGTATATCTGCAGAAACCCGTTGCACGACTCCGACATTTGATAGAGTTATCTTAAGGACTAGACGAACAATTCGAACAAGTTTGAAGACATATACTATTCAAAAAAAGTAGGGAATATTTGATTTTTAAGTGTTATTAAAGTCACCTAATGAAACTGACGAAGAAACAAATGACAAAATGAAATGAAGTTCACATTCATCGATTTATTCCAAATGATCGTTAGACTAAGTAAGGCACAGACTGACCATTATAAGGGTAAAATGATACCCGGGGTCAAACAGCAAAGTTACCACAGCATCACAACCAAGTCAGTAACGGGTAAATCCTCCTCTGTTTGCCAAACAAGCATTGATCCGACGTGGCATACTCCTAATGAGACGTCTAAGGTCATTTTGGTCCAGATTGTCCCATTCCTGTTGCAACGCAGCAGCAAGTTCTTGGACATTGGCAGGACGTTGTTGACGTTGACGTAACCTCTGTCCAAGCATGTCCCAGACATGCTCGATGGGGGAGAGGTCGGGACTCAGTGCTGGCCAAGGTAATGTGGTGATGTTCTGTTGTTGGAGGTAACCTGTAACGATCCTGGCCCTGTGACATCTTGCGTTGTCATCCTGGAAGATGAAACGGCGGCCATGACGTCGTGCGAACGGCACAACATGGACTGCCAAGATGTTGTCCCGGTAGTACTGGCCTGTAACACGCCCTGCAACAACATGTAAAGCCGTTCTTCCAGCAACAGTGATGCCTCCCCACACCATAACAGAACCACCCCCAAATCGATCATGTCTGATGACGTTAACGTCTTGGAAGCGCTCGTTTCGACGACGCCACACCCTCCTACGTCTGTCCAAAAAATCAACAGTGAACCTTGACTCATCTGAAAACATCACATTGCTCCAGCGTCGATTATCCCAGTGTTGACGATCCCTACACCAACGACGTCTTGCCTGAATGTGATGATCTCTCAAACAAGGGATCACGCGAGGACGTCGGGCGCGAAGGTGACCCCTATGCAGTCGATTCCGAATCGTCTGGCCACTCACTCTCACACCAGTGTCTGTTTGAAGACGAGCGCTGATCTGATTTGCTGTGATGACACGATTTCTCAAGGCCAAGGTACGGATAAATCGATCTTGGGCTTGAATTGTCGCCCTTGGTCGACCTGAGCGTGGTCTGTCCTGTACAGATTGTGTATCACGGTATCTGGACCATAGCCTGCTTATGACAGACTGAGAAACATTCATCGTCCGCGCCACAACCGCCTGTGTTGTGCCGATCTGTAGCATGCCAAGGGCACCTAACCTTTCATTTTGGGTAAGCCGACGCATATCAAAATTTGTTTTCTGGTCACTAAAACAATTAAACTGATGTTTCCACCCTGGAATTCAATGCCACAATGACTGTAACATTCAAAGTCAGAGTCGTGCAAATCTTGGGTTGGACCCCCATGATGATCCCAAGCATCACCTGCATTCCATGCGGTAGCTATTGGTGCGTTTGGGCGTCACATGTAACTGGAAATGTTTCTTCTGTTAGGTTCTATAGTGACTTTTTTCGTAGTCATTTGCATATTTTAGTATTATGCCCCCAAAATCAAATATCCCCTACTTTTTTGAATAGTATATAATATTAGGGTGATATAAATATTGCAAGCAGCAGTTGTCCATCTACTTGGGCCTATTTGTATAGTGAAAGTAGAGGTTTGGTTTACCCACCCTTTGGTTTTCATTGATGTTATTATTTAAGAGGAATTAAAAATCTTTGACTTCGCGGATGTTTAAATCAGATAATATTCGTACGAGTGGTACAGACTTTTTGGTGGTTTGGAGGTGTTAGCACTGTAGTTTTCGATAATAAACTGAATGAATCGACTCTTATTCTGTATATGATATTGTTCAAAATTTGTACAATATTTTCTTATTCAGAATGATTATTAAGCCTTTTTAACTTAGCTAAAACCGAATTCACAAATGCAACAAAGAGAATACATTTCTTTATTTTAAAAGAAGATCAAATTAAAATAACCGAGGAAGTTTACCTTTTCCGAAAATACCCCATGTCATGTAGAAATCGTGACTTAAATATATATTTAGATGGAGTAGTACTAGTAGCCCCGCTTTTCATGTCATGTAGAAATCTTGATCTAAATATATATTTTATGTGGAAAAGTACTAGTAGCCCCGCCTTTGATTTTGAATACTGATGTTTTCACATTACATTTGTTTATAATGTAAAACCTTCAATAGTCCAGATCGTATAATCACCATCTATAGGAAAATAATCAACAATTAATAATCTGAAAAGGCTCTTCAAAATGTACAAAGAGTTCAAAGCTATAATAACAAGCCCAGATGAATATAGTTTCCTGGATATACAACGTGTGGCATTTTACCCATCAAAAGATTAATAACCTACACCGAATCTTTAATGTCACGAAATGTGATATTGCGTTGTCCTACCTGTATTATCACCTAACAACACAATATCACTTCTATAAATACATTTGATTTGGTTCATATAACTTCTTCGTATTCTATGTTTTCGGGGAATTGCAAATTATGCATAAGGAGTTCTAAATTCAATTGAAATAATTTTATCAAAGGACTCGGGATCATAGTACATAAAACGTAATATGATACAACTATATTTAACTATTTCAACGGTTGTATTCAGATATTTTACGTTGTTATATGCACAAAGCATTTGTGCACATAATTGTGTCAACAAGATGTCTGTTTTTAATTTAATCAAAGTATGTGTGCCAACATTAAGTACTCGCTATGGGATGAACGCATAATTTCAATACTTTTGGTCATTGTTAGGACAATTTGTGCCCCGATGATTAAATAAGGATAGGAGTTAAATAAAATGATTCTGGGTTCATTCTATTGGCAGCAGAATCGTCTGTGTTGCTTGGATAACATCTAACGACGGGGTGAGGTTTTTGTAAAAAATGATGGGGAAAACTTGCTGCATCCCTTACTTCTGGAATTGAGTCGTAAATATGATTATTCGGACTGTTACTATGATTCAGTTGTATTTCACTATACCTTTTCCTTGTTAAACCTACAAAAATAAATAAATAATTTTCAGCATGAGCTTGTTATTTTTTCAGTAGAATGGATCCCATACATTCTAAGAATAGAGCCTGGCAACGAAAATTTGCCCTCCAGCAGGAATTATTTTGAAATAATAAAACCAATATGAAAGAAACTATATTTCTCTGAGATATTATAAACGTGAATGAAAAAGTATTTACTCTAAACATACTTTGAAATATTTACGGAAACTCAGAATGTACTATAGTGAAATAATTCAGTCAGTTTGAAATCAAAATGAAGGCGTTATTTTCGCACCCACACAAAAGGAAGAGTAGTGTAATGCTGATTTAATTGCAGGAATGCATTTCAAACCTATGCCAAACGACCCAAACTTTGCTCAGTCTTTCAATTTCTTTTGAGTTACACATCTTGGCGACAGGGTCTGTTGTTTTATAAGACGGAAATTGAATATGTGTACACGTGCATGGTGCACGTAAGTTGAGATTCAATTTTTTTTACTGCAACTATATTTATTTTAGAACAATTCAATCCCAAAGAATTTAATCAACTTACATGGAATTATGACTTTTATAATAATAATCACGATGAGGATGAAGACAATAAGAAATGATACTATGCTAAGTATTATGGTAATGAAATTATGCACACGGGCCTCTTTCTCTTTTTTGGGTTGAAAAAAGATCGTGTAGGAAGTGGATGAATCTCCTTCTTGCAAACTCCTCCAAGACGTTCCATGACTTCTTGGCGTATAAATGGTAGTTCTTATTCCAGTGGTTGTGTATATTTTACGAAAATTATCCGTTTCGGATTGTAATGTTCCTAAAATAAAAAAAAAACAAGTTGGCCAGAAATTGAAGTTGAATACGTTGAATATTAACTAATAACTAACTGTATTCGACACTTTTAAAGGGAAAAGTCATTTGATAAACATCAGTTGGGGTTTACTTTTTCCAGTTCAATCCTTTCATATTGTTCATTGTTGTATTTACTAGACCCAATTGTAGAAATCAGTACTATCAAAACAAAACGAAATCAGTAATAATTACACGGAGGAAAACAACAAAGTGGTCTAATTGAATAAAAGTTTTAAAAAAATACCAATACCGACAAAACTTAGAGCGTTTAGAACATTCATTTAAAAATTGACTAAGGAATACATATATTATTCTCATTCTTATTAAATAGAGGATATTTGTCGTTTTAGAGTGAATAACATATTTTATTTCATCGAGAAGCAAGAAAACTTATATTTTCACGAATGCGTAGCATGAGTGAAAATATAAACGTTTTCTTGCTTAGAGATGAAATAAAATATGTTATTCACGACAAAACGACAAATGTTCTATTTATTTTATGATTTTACAATCATTTTAGGTATAAACAACATGGACTACTGCTAGCCAGTGGAATAATACTTTTATTTCACTGATAAAACGCGGTATTCCACTACTGATCATAAAATAATATATTTTATACCTTGAACTACCAACTTAATAGTAGGACTGGATTTTCCGAATGATTCACAAGACCATTCGCCGTTATCATCAATATCTATATGTTTTATTTCCAGAACTGCAATTAATTGCCCGGGCTTTTGTTTACAAACATATTTGTCGTCATCCCAGGGTTTTCCTTTGAAATTTATAATGGTGCAAACTTCTCTGTTGCCTTTCTTGAATGCCAGTGTAGCATAGTGATCGGGTATGTAACAACAGAGACAGCCTACGTCACCAACAGATAGTCTGACTTTGTTAGTGCTCAAAATGATCCTTATATCTGAAATGGAATATAAATTGGAAACTAATACAAAATTGAACTAATCGAAATAATGGGTTTTCTTTAATTACATAAGAAAACGGCATTAATTTTAATTACTGGAAAAGTTAGTGAGTGTCTTTTTTTAAAAGTGTAAAATAAATTGTATTAATGTGTACTTAAATAATAGAAATTTCAAGCTTCAAGCTAACATTTCGTTTAAAAGTCTAGAAGAATTAGAAGGGTTGTTTTGTTATGAATAAATAAATAAATAAATAGCTAATACCATTTTTCAAATCTGTGTTACACTGAAATATAAATGTTCAATTTACTTAGAAAATAATTTCAAGACTACAATAAAAACTGTTATTTGTCTTACCTAACTATAATACACGGGGTGTTTTGGACCGAGATAACATATTCTACCTAACGCAGATAGTTATAGCCAAACAACAGTAGATTAGCCAATAGGAGGTCGACCCCTACTGGAAGATTATACTTCTTTTGTCGACGAAGTTTAATCTGACGGTTAATTAAGTCACCCAATGAGGCTTTGAGTCATTTGTGGGAGGATGGGATAACATTTGATGGCAGAGAAAGTCGGGTCAAGAATTGCCGTAAACGATGTCGAAGTGTTAAAAATTGATGTCCTGCACTACAGTAGTAATAGTAGTAGTAATTTGTTTATTAAAATGTCATACACTGCATACAATAAAATATATACATTAGATAAAATATACATAAAATAACAGCAGTGTCAAGCCCAATCCGACTTACGGGACATAGTTATTCAAGGTTCTCTAAAATCAAACCATGAAAGATACTTTCCTGGTACAAACTGTGTGATTTGATATTTGGGCTAAAACATATTCAAACTAATCAATCTATCAAAAATGTGCTTCAAATAACAACCGCTCCCTCAGTCAAGCTAGCACACAACAAGCTGGCAAACAACAGTCGGGTTGCCAGTTAGTGATACCCTGACATTTTTGCCCAGTGCTTGGCCCATGTTGTTTTTTTCGGATAATCCAGTATTTTTCTAGTAAGAATGGGGGTCTATACTTTCCATATATACCAAATTTGCCATACTGTTATTGGAACCACCCGAAAGATACTTTCGGGCAATGTATCTTTAAAAATAATAAATAATTAAATAAAATACATTCAGATTAATCTACTCCTTCGTCTTAACATGTTTAAAACACAATTAGCGAGGGTAGTTTTTAAAATTCTTAAAAAACATTATTAACATCCAGATTTACAAATCTGAGTAGAAACCACTGCCAATTAAAAAAAATGGATTTCGTACTCGATACATGACGAGCACAAAGGACATATGCGATTATTTAGGTGAATAGGGAGTTTAGATTAGCGACCTGTTTCTATTGATAAAGGAAGAATACCACAAATAACATAATCCTCCACTTTTAGATCAGTTTTAACAATTTATATGTTTTAAATTTATTTCCATTTGTACAGTTTCTGTCGTCCCACAGTTTTGAAAACCACATTGATTCTTCAGTTATAAATGATTTTAGTATGAAAATCAGATTGACCATATACCGTTTCATAAATAAAGCTCATGCTGTACATTTAGATTTTCTGCTAACTTTAATACCTTCCTTTCCCAAAATTTTGTGACCTAAACTTATATTGAATTCCAACTGCCATGGGATTTATTTTACGTGCACACCTATGTATACACGGGACCTCGGTTAACATGAATCATTAAGCCCGTGAAATAATGTAAATGTCATAACGTAAACCCACAGAAACCTTAAAACTATATACAAATATATCATATATTCGATAGTTTCATTACACATTTATAAATGCTGTGCCGAAACACTAAAGAAAAGCCCTGACCACACGTGAACGAACTGAAATTTTAGCTTTTAAAAAGAAGTTTCGGGGTGAAACGAACATGGAAAGAAGATAGCGTCGATCACAACTTGAGATTCGAAAATTGTAAACCTTTACATTGCCCCTCTGTACGCTTCATTTAATTTGAGATTATAAAATATATTATGGAAATACGTACCACACACTGAGCAGCAACTACGCGTAGGACTGATAAAATAGTGACAACATGGATCATGATGAACCTCTGTATGCCGCCATTACAAGCCATTAGTCATTGTGTATGACGTCACTTTCGATTTCCTGATCGAAATATAATAAAATATATGACACTGTTCAAAGTTATCAAAGAAGTTTTATGAACTGCACTTACTAGTATACAATAAGTTTGGATCCAACCCCAGATTGACAGGACTATAAATCAATTACAAGACAAGGTGTTCGGTATGTATTCATTTGATATATTTTATATTGTTTAAGTACTGATAAAATGAAATAAAAGTTAATAGACATAATATAGGTACATATCAAGACATATAATATATTACTTCCTGTTTAACGATATAATATATAGTTTTGCTTACAGTGGATTGGAAACTAAAAGCAATTATTGTCAAAACACTAACTAATGATTTTAATAACTATAGGATAGATTTTGTTTTAGTAGTACAGCAATTGATGTAGAAATAATGAACATGAAAAAAACATTATTTAAAAATACGGGATGGGTGTATAAAGGGAGAGAAATCATTATCAAAATCCTTTAAATTGTCCGGGTAAACATTTTTTATCAATAGCCTAATATCTCCGCATAGTCTGCTAACCACGGTAATACATTATTAGATAATTATTATTTATTTGGATTAAGTTTTCCTCGATGGTTGATTTATTTTGGCAATAAATGTTCGAATTTTCTCAACTTCCCATAGTTTCAATATTTAAGTTCTTGATTATATAATTATTGTGGTCATACGATTGTAGAAATTGGTTAGCTTGCAGGGTTTGAGACGCATGTTTATCCTAAAAAACACAATCATGTGCAAATTTACCCGCATTTATGGATTTTCTATTATATATTATCATGCCCAGCAAAGGCAATAATAAATTAGATCATACTTTCAATGAAATGAATTGTGACCAAAGATTCAAGTTTATAGTGAATTATGACTCAATTCAACAAAGCCTGGGTATTACTTGTTTAAGAATCGAAGGCAACCTCTTAAAACTTTTGTGTAACTCAAAGAAACAAAACTTTAAAATATAATATGTGTGTTGAAGTTGGAGTTAAGTGTCAGCTATATTTGTGACACTATGGGTAGATGTGTGACACTTTCTTCTTGGCCTTCCTTCGACTTCACGTTGTGGGATCAATTATTTCATTCATCAATTAACTGACTCTGGAACACCGTTTATGTTGTTACTATGTTTATATACCAATTACAGCAAACTACAAAGTTATGATAGTTCTACATAAGGTTCGCGCTAGGATGATGTGTTCGCCCTAGCCTCTAAGCCGAGGAGGCTATGGGTATGTTCCCATTGAGCTCCGAATGATGTCTTCCCTACGGTCTCATCATGATATCTGAAGGTAAATCAAACCATATCTCTCCTATATAGATATTATAATGCGTCATCTATTAGGGCGGGACAATTACCATTTTTGGGTAAGTGTTTCGTATAGGCACCGTTTTACGTCAACACTATTCTAGTTAATTGTACTAATCCATGCACGAGATGACTGGACTATAGTACCCTATTCCAGCAATGGATACTGACATAACTGTCGGTGAGTTAGTCTAAGATAGTAGTAGAATAATGCAAGCTACTTTGTAACAATATAGACATTGTTTTTAAATTTATAGACAAAGAATAGAGAAATAAGATGACTTGATATTTCATTAATTAATATATTTGGCAAATTAATAGTTTCACACATATTCACATATATATTATATATAGTGTGTACTAAATCAACTTAGTCTGTAATTGACAGTTGACACATAAAAAGAGATATTTAGCCAAAACATGTGTCAATAATATACCACCAGATTACACGTGAGTGGAATTATTCTAATTGCATCATTTGGCTTAAAGTAACCAATCATATCGTTAATTGCACAGGTTCAGAGCCATGAACAGGCTTTCTGTGCGTGATATGCAGGAGTCTTATAAAAGAAATCATAGTAAAGTTTTAAGTTAGACTTCTATTAGATTCCAGAGAGGTTCCATCTGAGTTCCTAGACAGCCGCGAGGCTAGGGTGGAGAATAGTTTTAGCTAATATTGTTATCTATTATGCTTGTATACATGTATTCGGCTATATATATATATATAAAATGTAGAAGCGAACTGTTGCATTGTTATTCCTGTTAAGACAAACGTCTTAAGAAAACTGTAGAAGTAAATACACTACGTGAAGCAGAAGTAAAGACAGCTAAAGACAAATTCTAGACGATCACAAGGCTACAGAAATATGTAGTAAGAAAAGATGCATGGGTCGTATGTAGGATGTGGCGACCGGTCTGGCATTCCCGCTATCCACGTCTGACAAAAAGGCCCATGGTGCTAAATATTCGATTTGGTGCCGTAACGGAGTTTCGACCTTTAGGGTAAGAAGTCACTTTAGAAGAAGAATACATATTTGAAGACGTTAAAAAGAAAATAAAAGATCTGTACAATCCAGCAACAGAGGAAAATTTTTGGTGGAAATAGTCTCAAAAGTCGGTAAATACATTTTGTTTGGTAAATTAAATGTGTTAAATTTGTTTACAGACCAAATAATATTAATTTAAGGTTAAAATCTGATTAGAATCTAAATATTTGAAATTTAACTGTATAGGGAAATAAAGGTATTCATTCATAAGTTTTGATAGACAGGTTTAGTAAACAATATAATATCATGAGCTATAGGTATGTATATTATCAAGTTAACATGACCTGTAGTGAATTTGAGTAAAATTAAAGTTAAAGTGAGGGTCTCTAGGGCGTAGGTTTGAAAAAAAATTGTTTTGATATAACTAAGGAATAATAATGATAAGGAAACAGAATAGGGAATAAAGTAAGGAACTAATGTTGTCTCCGGATCGCAGTAGAAAAATGGCAGATCTAAGGATGAAGTTTGTGAGTGATTAACTCTAGTTTCCAAGATGGCCGTGCTTTCTACTGTGATTCGTTAATTTGTGTTTTTTGTTGTTTCGTATATAGTGTAATTTTGAAGCTCTAGTCCAAGGTTTCAAAATTAAGTAATTTAACTTTTGAATAAAAAGTTAGGTTATGAAAAAAAATCCCTTATAATTAAATATAGAGATGTGGGTTATAGTTTTCCTGGGGAAAAACTAAAATTAACGGCTCGTTAAATTGTGAGATTATCGCAGTCATTAATACGGGTTTAATACGAGGTTAAGGTAAGAATACGACACTTTCTTAGAAAAGTGGAAGTATACGGTAGATTTTGTCCGTATATGATTTTGTGTAATTAAATTTTTGCTTTAGAAACGTAATATAAACGTTAAATATATATTTGCTAAATGTTATTTTGTCATTAATTAAATTTTGCTTTAAATTGTTCATGCGAGATGATTAGAATGTGTAATTTGACATTAGGTCTGATTATTATAAACAATAGGTTCTAACACTGTGTTAAATTTGACGTGTGTAAAAGTCAAAATATATAGGATAAAATGGGATGTCATTCAGATAGTGGCCATATCTGTGTGTCATCCTGGCTAATGTAATAATAAAGAGAATGTTTATATAATGTGGAATGTGTTCTGGGTGAATGAAACTGCAGTCGTTTATTTGGGACAGTTCTATTTTGGATAAATTATAGTCTGGTATTTTCATAAGTGTGAGCTCAGCTTGTGTCAGTGTCAGTCTGACAGGAATGTTTATAAAAAAACGAAATACAAAATTGTAAATGATTAGGTCAAAAAGGTAACATTACTGACGGTGAAATATAAAATAACAATGTAGGAATTCTAAAACAGAAACGGAAATTATAAAACATAAACGTAATTATAAAATTGTATATTATGATAAGGTCAAGAGGTCAAAGTTAGTTTGAAGATTTATAATTAAAGGGACACATCAAAGTTTATTAATGATTAAATAAAGTTTAATTTTGATTAAGAGTGAGTTACTTGTAAGTTTTCGAAATAATAATGTTAGACTAATATCAAAATAAAGTTTTAAAAAAAAATAGGAATAGTTAGTTCTTGGTCTGATGGCAATGACATGTTTGATTGACGGATAAAATTGTACAAACCAATCATACTTAGAAGAAAAAAAAAGAAAGTTTCCACTTGATACTAAGGTAGCTGAAACAGACCAATACAAATCCAAGTAGAAGAAATGGTTTACCAGTTTACCAAATTGAGATATCCTGAGACAGAATTTAAAGTGAAACCTGAACTTTATAAATATTACGTGATGTGTTATAGTGTTTTGAAATTAGGACACTTGAAGATTTGAAAAAGACAATCTGTGTTTTCTGTGTTTAGGATTAGTGAATTTTCGTAGGACTTTGAAGTACATATGAACTTTTTGAAGAGCTTTTGCATGCGACTTTTGATTGTTGATTTTTGATTATTTCTGTTTTCTTTCACAGCTTATAGTATAGTAATCATTTATATTTGCCTGTTACGTGAATAATTAGTTAGAATATCTATATTTTATATATATTCTTAAAGGGGGAAGAAATGTAACAATATAGTCGTTGCGAGAGAGAGAGAGAGAGAGAGAGAGAGAGAGAGAAATGGGGTTTAACGTCCACTCGACACAAACTAGGTCATTTCGGGACTAACATATGGTTTAATTGTATTTACATAATTCGCTTGCGCGTAGGGGTCTTTAGCAGTGGGAGGAAACCGGAGGACCCGGAGAAAACCCACGAGGTTGGATATAGTCGTTGCGACATTGTTTTTAAATTTATAGACAAAGAATAGGGAAATAAGATGACTTGATATTTCATTAATTAATATATTTGGCAAATTAATAGTTTCACACATATTCACATATATATTATATATAGTGTGTACTAAATCAACTTAGTCTGTAATTGACAGTTGACACATAAAAAGAGCTATTTAGCCAAAACATGTGTCAATAATATACCACCAGATTACACGTGAGTGGAATTATTCCAATTGAATCGTTTGGCTTAAAGTAAACAATCATATCATTTGCGTGATATGCAGGAGTCTTATAAAAGAAATCATAGTAAAGTTTTAAGTTAGACTTCCTTTAGATTCCAGAGAGGTTCCATCTGAATTCCTAGA